ACCAGTACGACGACGACGGGTACCAGTCCTACTGCACCATCTGCTGTGGCGGCCGCGAGGTCCTCATGTGTGGCAACAACAACTGCTGCAGGTGAGAGGGGATGGGGAGCTCTGGGGTTTGGGGGTGCCATGGTCCTGGGGAGGATTTGGGAGTGCCACAATCCCTGTGTGGGTCTGGGGAGGGCTCAGGGATGCTACAGTCCTGGTGTGAAGATGGGGAGGGCTCAAGGTGAGGGGCTGGAGAAGGTTTAGGGGTGCCACAGTCCAGGTTTGGGGGTCCTATGGTCCTCATGAGGGGCTGGGGAGGGTTCAGGTGTACCAAGGTCCTGATGTGGGTCTAGGAGTGCTAATGTCCAGGTTTGGGGGTGCTATAGTCCTGGCATGAGGCTGGAGAGGGCTCACGGGTGCCCTAGTTCTGTCTACTTGAGGCTGGGGAGGTTCTGGTGATGCCATAGACCTGGCATGGGATTTCAGTGATGCTGAGGAGGCTTTGTTCATTTCACATTCCTGCCGTGGTGATGCCACTCCTGGTGTGGGAATTCAGTGATGTGGGACTGGGAGTCGGTTTTGGCAATGCCCCAGTCCTAGCATGGAGCTGGGAAATTCTCATGTTGCCACATGGGAATTTGGTGATGCCAGTCTAGGTGTGAGTTTGGGATGCCTTAGGCCAGGTGCAAGGTTTTGATGACTCCAGTCTCATCTCAGTGTGGCACTGGAAGGTTTTGGTGATGCCCCAGTCCTGGCATGGGACTGGCAAATTTGGGTCATGCCACAGTCTTTGCATGGGGCTGGGGGGTTTTTGATGGACCTGCTGTAGGGTTTTGGGTGATGCCAGTCCTGGTGTGAGGCCTGGAAGGTTTTGGTGGTGGAGTTTTCGTGGTGCCCCAGTCGTACTGGCATGGAGCTGGGAAGTCTTGGTAATGCCTCAGTCCTGGCATGGGACCGAGGTTTTGGTGGTACCATGATCCAGGTTTGGGGCTGGGGATATTTTGGTGATGCCAATCCTGGTATAGGAATTCAGTGATGCCAGTCCTGGTTTGGGACTGAGGTGGGTTTGGTTGTGCCATGGCTTTGTTGATGCCCTGGTCCTGGCCTGAGGCTGGGGAGGTCTTGGTGTGATGCCCTGATGCTGCTGTAGTTCTGGGGAAAATTTTGCCAATGCCTCAGTCCCAGCCTGTAGCTGGGAAGTTCTGGTGATGCCCCAGTCCTGCTGTAGGTTTTAGTGATTGATGGCCAGTCCTGGTGCGGGGCTGGGTGGATTTTGTGGTGCCACCACTGACCTCAGCTCCCACCTGTGCCAGGTGCTTCTGTGTGGAGTGTGTGGACCTGCTGGTGGGCCCGGGGGCAGCACAGGCAGCCATCAAGGAGGACCCCTGGAACTGCTACATGTGCGGCCACAAGGGGGTCTACGGGCTGCTGCGGCGGCGGGAGGACTGGCCCTCGCGCCTCCAGATGTTCTTCGCCAACAACCATGACCAGGAGTTTGTGAGTGTCTCCCCCAGCCCTGGCAGAGCTCCCCATTGCCCCCCATGCCCTGTAGAGGCCCAGAGGACCCAGCCCCTCCCCTACTGATGCCCACCTGTGGCTTTTAGGAACCGCCGCAG